ATACTGTGTTGTTTAGATGCAGCTAAAAATGCCACTATCATTCCAAATTTACTAAGATTTTTAATCACTAACCAAACTTTTTATTTTGCACATGCTTAGTAGTCCGGTTTTGAGCTTAAAAGTTATTTTTATTGATAATAAATGATTTGAGGCTAAAGTATTTTACTGGAATAATTTGAACAGTGTAAGGTAAGAGAAAATGAGGAGATTAAAAGTAGGAATCCACAGATATTGCAAACGATGACGAAGTGACATTTAAACACTTGATAAATTTCTACAATGATTATGACTAGAAGTTAGGACCTGCTTTGTATTTGCTGTCTGTTACCAATCAGTGAAACGAAACATTTGATGAATACTGAAGGAACATCAAACTGTTATGGTAGCAGGATGATTACTTTTTCAGATATAGCTTACAAATGGTGGTTCTCCCAAAGTGAAGGATATAACTCTTTAAATCAAAATGATTCAGCATGATTTGTGATTTTTTAGGTTGTCCGTTTTATTCCCAACTACTCTCCTTTTCGCCTACTCTTGAATAACTGTCAGATTAAAGCCCAAACTTTTTCACCAGAAAAGCATATATTCTAGCTTCTTATATCTAACATTACTTCACATATGGGTGCATTTTTTCGGGTAGTGGGGGGAATCATCCTTACTTGTACGTATAATGCAAGATTTATCTTGCGATCAAAGTATGCATTCGATAGTTGATCCACTTCAATATAAAAAAGGATTTCACATATCCTTTAACGCAGTTATAACTCACTACAAACATCTATTATATAAACATATTGCTTAAGAAAATCTCCCTAGTAGTTCTTAGAAATAAACTGCAACAAATTGTAAGCTCTTTTATCTATTGTTTAGAGTTAAACTTAAGATCGCATCTTCCATCTAAATAAAGTTTCAGTATGTTTATTAAGTGACCAATAAGATAATGCTGTTAACAGTGCAGTTTTTTGAGTTAAATTACTCATAACCGACGGAATTTTAGAGCCACAGGGATCTTTCAAAATGCAACTTTCATCAGCACAGCACTTCATTTTCCGCACATTTGATTGGAGTTTTCGCATCATCAAGTTAACTTTGAAACTGATGAGTGCGATCTGGGCATGGCTGCCTTACGTACCACGTTTAAACCATTTTATAGCCTTCGATCACTTGAAGAAGGTAAGATACGCAATGACAAAAATAGTGCAAGAAATTTGATTCTGTATATGAATTACCATACGATGATGGATTAGGCTAGAAGGGATTATTTTCACTTGATAATGATGAATTTTAACCTTGTGTCAAGAATTTGTGCTGGTTTGTGTTTTAGCGTAGTAGGTAAAAGAAAACTTCACATTGTTGCAGACATTTATTTTCAACGACCACTTAAGGTAGGGTTGTCAATTTACTGACGCACATCACACATGTTTTGTAACAAAAATGTCCACATAATCTTGATTCCTGATTACCGAAAAATCCCACCGAACTGGCATCTTTAAAACCCCCAAGATGACAAATTTACTATCCCTAAGAAATAGGTTTAAATTTTAACCTACCATTCACACACTGTTCTGCGTGCAAATCAAACAGCACAGGCGTTTGCGAAAAGCCTCAGGCAATTTTGGTGCTAAAATTGATGGCATTAATCTCCAACATATATTTTGTGAAGCGAGGCCATGGATTTGAGCCTCGAAGGAGCTTTCTATACTAAAGGTAATGGTAAGTGGAAAATGTAAATGAGAAAATAAAAAAAATCAATGGAAAACACTCATTAGTACAAATTCATAAGAGCAGTTTAAAGCCATTAATGTCATAATCGGTGTGATTTATGGTATAATGTATTTTTACAAGTGCTTTTGAAGCCAAGTGGGGACCACTAGCATCGAAAAGCGTATAAGAGGATGTTAATCTGACGGTAATGTGCCAGAAACTAAGTAAGATCTCCTACGTTACTAATGGCTGTACAAATATCGTGAGTCAGCCGACACACTGTTGCTCAAAAAGATGGCCAAGATTGTTCTATGCACTTGTGTCAACCAGAAAATGGTGACGCAATATTTGTAAATGTCTACCAAAAACTTTTGAAGCAGCCTGATGCGAAAATGTGATTCATTGCCATCTTAGTGGTGGAACAAAGACGACAAGTCTTGCTTCTATTGTTGGATGTCTTCTCAATTCACCACTGCAAAAGGAACACTTATCGTTGCGAATGCATAAAATCAAAGCAAACGTGTCTTTTGATTGGAATAGCAAGCACAATCATCCAAGAGCATTCATCATGTCAAAAGGTTGCTGCGATTTGGGTGTTCCAGAATAACGGAAAATGTATACTCGATGGTCCTTTCTATGTGTTGGTAAAACGGTGAAGGGTAGGCTTGTGAATATGCTGGAGGACTGCTAAAAGTAAATGTAGGCTTCATTTTTTGAAAATAATCCAGCATTTTATTTCTTTTTAGAAATTACGAGTTCTTGTCTGGTCTGAATGGCTTAAAAATGAGTTTCTTTAATGCAACTGTCTGCTGAAAAACAGTGTAAAAGTACAAAATTTGACCATACTTAGGGATGCAAAACATAAGGTAAGTAAAGAACCATAATTTTTATTTGCACTTGAATTTCACTCAACCATATAGAGGATAGTATCCTTGGGTTGGAGGAAACTCCTGATATAGACCGCTATTACTTCTTGGTATCAAACCAAATTTGGGGCGAAAATTTTGGGCGCTTGAGCCCATGAGCCCTCTTGCCGTTGGCCATTCAGGAAACAGTCTGATTGAACTCAAGACAGTTATTAAGCAAGGCTCAGTTGCATCAAATGCTGCCATTTCTCTTCCTCATGTTATTCTGCTTCCATGAGGCTGTTTTCGGATTGCGCCTTTGTTCCTCATTGTGACAGACTTAATCAACTGGATGTCCGAAGTACCATGCATTTTTATTTTTGTGGTTCAAAGCAGTTTTCTTTAAATTCGAATTCCTGTTTACATAGTCAGGTTCTAAAAGACTCAGATGCTAAGAATTTACTATGGGAAGAGGTTGAGGCATCGAATAATTTAATCGCAATTGCATAAAAGGAGGAAATTCTGTATGAAAGGAAAATAACGAGCATTTTAGGTTACCATTTACTATTTATTGAACATTTCATGCAGACTTAAACATTAAAAATAAGGTATTTTTAACAAGTCAATGAGTAAGTCGAGTCGAACAACTTTAAAGCCACTGTAGTATCAACCGCTTTGAGCTTTTTATTTGCACCAGAGCTACTACAAGAGTTTGTCATCAACAAAATGGGCTTTTGTTCTTGTACCAGGGATTTCAAAAAGGTTTTGTTTACTTTGCCAAACACTTGTCTCCAGTGTTTACTGCTGCCGAATTTTATGAAAGCAAACACACATTTAGTGGAAACATCCTGATTCCAAATATGCCTTTCAAACTAAATCTCCACATGATATGTCCATGCTTGATGTTTTTAAATTGAAAAGGAGATTTTAAAGAAAGTACAATGTGTCCTAATAAACAAATTTACCTGAGGGGGCAATATCTGCCAAAACTTGCCATCAAAGCAAATATGTCTAGCACCTATTGGTGCATGCCGGCTGATCAAAGAATCGAATTATCTCATCATGGTTGAGAATATCCCAGCCACTAACATACAATCACTTGTAATCAGTTTCGATGAAGTGAACTGGTTTGCCATTGACCCCAAGTGAAGGGTTTGTTTGCGCAATCCTTTTAAGCTACTCGGTCTACACTTCTGCTTACCGGCACGGCTATCCAATCTGCATAATTGTGAGACTCTCCATAGGTTAAAACTAAATCTCTTCCACCGCTCCGTGTTATTACGTCTTTACAAAGGGCTTCAGATGTTCTAATAGTAGTAGCGACAAACGAGATCGCTTTGTCTGGAAGGCTGCTTAAAATTTCTGGACGATCATCAATCTTTAACGTTACGAAAAGCGAAAATCTGACGCAGTTGGTTGCATCTGTGCTGATGCATTGCAAAAGTATAAATTAAGCATCCTAGTAATCACGTAAGCCCTGTGTTTGATAAGAAGGGGGTTAATGAATAAAGGGAGGCCAATTTAAAACCTTACTACACAAATAAATACAATCTATGTATGAAAATTTCCGAATTGGATGAAAAATTTTGCTTTACCTTGCCTTAATCAACAAAATGGAGTTTGGATGAACAGTGAGCCGAATTAGAGCGAAAATATGGATGCAGGTGTGAATAAATTATGAATGTTGACTTCTTGACGTTCCTATTAACATTTACATATAAATTGCCAAACGTACCAAAGGATGGAGAATAATGTGCAAAATGATATCTTCTTTAACCATCTTGGAGCCCAATACAGTGCGCAAGTCAGTCGCTCTCCCAGTGCACTTCATAAAAAGCCGGAGGGCCAGATACAATGCAAATGATGAAACGCTTTGCTATCTTTTAAGTAAAATTTAACATTTCTGCAGGTAGTTTTGATGCATTGATTTCGTAGAGGTGGTCAGTGTTAAGCTTGTAGATACCTCCAGCTGACTGTCACCTCCTCTTTGTGGCAGACATTGACTGGTTAAATGAAATAGACAGCAAATAGGAGCAAGATGGGCTAGGATTAGGATTTCTTGACTTTTAAAGACGAAAAATTTATAAAAGTAAAGATTGCAGCTGGTGCCTTCTAAGGGATGAACTTCACACAGAATCCTCCTTTAGTCATCCGGTTTTTAACAATAAAATATGTAGCTTTTTGAAAAATGTAGAGTTAAAAGTGGCAGTGTTTACTGCTTATTCCTAGTGCTCCTATCCTTCCATCCTTCCTTGGTCTGCCTATTTAGTAGGCCTTGTACCTTTAAGTACCCACTGACTAACTTTGAACCATCCCTCTTATCCATCCTAAACCTATTCATTTCGTGCGTAAAAAGTGTACAATTAACACTTCGTTCTTTATTCTTCTTACATTACCATGCAATAAACAAAATATTTAAGGAAGCAAAGGAACGAATATTCCCCTTTTTCATCACTTATTCTCATCATATAGACCCTCTAAAGGCTCATAAGAGTACTCGGGTTTGAGGATCCACGAAAAGTCGCGCCTGGTGCAGACGAACATGCAGGCCTTCCAGCTGTAAAAACGATTGCGAGTGCCACCACAACCTCCGTAGTAAAAGGGATGACAAGTGTTGTTGTAGGGATCGTAGTAGTAGTTGATACTGTAGTTTCGGCACGGTCCAGGGGCGTACGGTTCGTAGCAAGCGGGATGAACAGCACCAGAGGCTGTGGAAATTGAGAGAGAATTTAGAAACTTTACAAGCTTTAAAGGCTTGACTGATATGATTGGGTTAAAATTCCGTTTTCCGAATCTAGGCTAACTTGTAAGAGCTAAAGGTGCTGATTTCAAATCCATTCTGCAAGGTATTTAACAAACGAATTATTGGCCAGCAGGGTTGATGATTATGTCCGGTAAAAGGAAGACTAAGACTGATTTACCGTTTAAAGTGTGTTTGTTATGCTTCAACAAAGCTCAAAGTATAATACTGTCAGAATTACATTTATTGGCTGCCATAATTTATGAAAGAGAAGTAAGGTATGCAGATAAAATAGTCATAATAACAATGGAAATGAAACATCGGCATTGTTTGAGCCATTATCATCAAAACAATAATTCAATCAAACTTATTAAAGTCTTGGAGTTTATTTTATCTTAGTTAAAAACAAAAATAAAAGCCACAGACATAGGAAGCATTCAAAACACTCGATCACTTTTAGAAACATGATTTGGAAAACCCATTCTAGGTAAGTTAACACGCTCACTTATTCCCTTTAGGTTATATGAATGAAATTCCAGACAAAATTCTGCCTTTGTGAAACTAAAAAACTGTTTCCTTTGGCAAAAATTGGGTAGAATTTTGTTTAAATTGAGGGTATTAGTTGAGCTTACCTTTAAAGTACACAAGGAGGAAGCAAAGAGCAATGATTTTCAGCATTATCCGACGAACCCTATCTGTGCTTATGTCAGAGTGCTCTCCAGCGCCGTCTTTTATACGGACGTGGCGGAAGTAACAACTTTGAACCCCACCATGGCGCAATTATCTTCCCCGAAATTAGCTGTCAATCTGCTCCAGCAACTTCCGGTTTAAGGTGACCCAGATCAAGATATCATGTAAGGATTTAAAGACCTAGGAAAAACGAGGGTTAAGTGTGAAGGATTTCAGTCAGAACACGAATGTATGTCATTTATTAAAGTGACATGGACTTTATTAAACCAGAGAAAATAAAAACTGATGCAATAAACGCCTGCAATTCTAGAGCAAGGAAGCTAAGCATAAGAAGCACAAATAGTTGTCATGAGACTCAATGAAGGTTTTATTAATGCCTAAAAACACTTTATCATGAACGCACACATGAGGCGCTCAATTCTATACGCCACTTTTATGAAAGTCGAACAAAAGACTGAAAGGACCACACAGCAATTTCGTATGCAAATAAAACAAGCATTTTAATCATTATTTTAAAATTCAAAAGTCACAAGGGACCCTCACATCAAGCAAGGAAGTTAGATTCCCCACGTGATAGATAATTGAAATTGTTGTGGTAGTAAGCTATAAGAGCTTTCTATGGCAAGTGCTAGTTGCCACCATAAAAGTAATGAGCCAGTCTAGGCGTAGCTGATCAGAATGGTCAACAATTTTTAAATATACAAACAGGGCAATGCTCAACAACTGAGATTTTTGAAGACGTAAACATCTAGATCAACTTTATTATCTCAAACAGGGATTATTTAATCTTATAAGACGCTAGAACACGCAAATATATTCAAGTAAGTAATTTTGCAATAATTACAAAGACGGTTAGTCCTTAGAGCTTCCAGCTTCTTTCTGTAAAAATGTAAAATTGAATGGTCCCAGTCTAAACAGCGCTTCGAAGTACGACCTATTCTCAAATTTCTCTGGATCGAAAGAGGAATTATTTACTGATTTAAAAAATTGACGCGCGATAGGTATTGAGCCAGGTTAGCAGTTCCACATAGTTAACGAAACAAAACCTGCTCTTCTTGGATGGTTTTACCATCTTTTTTGCCTAGTACTGTCCATGCCCTTTGAACCCTGGCTTAAAATCATAAATACACTTAGGAACCATGAAGAATCCAACTCATATTTTACTGGGTGAAATGTCTCACTTCACTTCCAAAGTTTTAATTTAATTGGAAGCCTCTCTTATCATTTTGTTCGGGGTGGCGATCTTAGTGGTGGTAATGACTCATTAGAGTCATTTATGAATCTAAATGCTAATATTATGAAGAATTCTATCACTCTTGGATCTCGATAAGATTCATCTAGAGTGGCTTGAAGAGGCACTCCTCTAGGATGATAGGCAATCACTCCACCTAATTACTTTCTAAACTTTGGTCTGGAGGCAACTTATCTTTAAACAAATGAATCACGACGTCTTACTTTAATTTTCTATTTCATCATGTGAAACTACCCAGATCGTTAGATGGATTTTCCAGATTTGTCCAATTTCAGAAGTCAACCACCTCCTAAACAGGGATAAATCACTGATAGTTTTTTACCATAACCTGAATGAATTCAAAAAGGTTCCATTGTACTCTCAACGACTCCCCACAAGGCGCAGTAAATGTCTTCCAAATTTAAAATTCCTTGCTAAAGTGTAATTTATAGGGATTAATTGACCTGGCATGATTTTATTTCTGTAATAATTATGCCTTCCCGCCTCCTAATACTGTTTGTTGCAGAAGGTCGATTTTCCTGCCGAAAGCCATAATATTGGTTTAATCGTTGTTTACTCAAATTTTCAGGTTTTGAGGGACAAGCCATTTAGCCATGAACTATTATTGTCTAGTTTGCCTCAACATAAAGTGGAAATTGCTTTGAACTATCTCTGAAAACAAAGCATGGTAATATTGTTTTGAGGACTTTTATCTGCCCCAAGATGCAAGATTGGAAAAAGCCCTAAAATGATTGCATATTTTCCAATGTCTTTTCATCTGTTTTACGAAATAAGATTTGTTAAGTAGCCTCTTTACTTTACAGATTTCCTTCAAATGACTTAAGTTTTAAAGTAAAATAATGATTTCCATGAAATCATGCTGCTGATAATTTACGTGCAGTTGGTTTGAGATGCATGTATCGTCCAAAATCTACCGGTGCTTTCGTTTTCAGCTCACGCATATTATGTTGTGCGATCATCGGTTGTTATGTCCGTGTTACTCACAAACCTTACTTGTTGATATTTTGAGCTTCCATCAGCATTGTACTGTATAAATCATTCTAAAATGAAACAAAATAATAACAACTTTTGTTTTTTAAAAGATACATCATTAAATGTTAAGAAGGACAAAAAGGACTGTCATAATCGCAAGCAAACAGGCAGTCGGAGGAATAAATAAAATTTACTTTTGTAATTATACGGTAAATAATGAGAACCAATCATCCATTAAATTGACCAAAGCCAACCACTGCACTCATACACCCTCATTCAGCCACTGAAATTTGAAATTAAACATGTTGAATCCATTACTTCCCGCCAGATTTGGGCATCTTTTTGACTTTGTCACAGTTATGATAATGAAAAGTTTTAAGACTCGTCTGTCCATGTGTGTGGTCCCGGCCCCCTCCCAAAAGTGGCCGAGGCTTCTGCATTCGTCGTCGATACTGCTATTACATTTGCCGCCAGTGCGTTTTAGTTTACCGACAGGACCACCCAAAAAGTGAAGTCTTCTAAGACCGCCAAATTACTGTTAAATAGAAATTTGGCTTTCTCTTTGATGGAGGAAAAATAGTAGCGTTGAATATGGCAATCAGTCATAGAAACTGCTCATGCGATCAGAATGATTTGTTGTAAATTAGTAAATCTTAGCAACACAGCCACCTTGTTAAGCCTATGGCCATTGCCTCATTAAGCAGTAATCTAGGAGGGATATTTGACCCGGTTGTCAAGCTAAAGACTGGAGTGTCTATTAAAATTTGCTTAAGTAAGTTTATACTCTTATGTAGTTACAATGATGTAGGGGTTAATATTTAAACTTTAAAACAGCATTGTTTTTTTCACTTTTTCCATTAACGCATGGTTAGAATATCTGCTTTACCAGTGTCACTCCTTTTTTATACATTTAATGGGCAGAATTTTGGGTACATTTTAGTTATTTTTCATGCTTGACAGGTAGCGTTAAAATTAAGGACCATCTATCTATAACTTGAGGTAAAGTTTCTCTAATTAGATCGGTGCAATTTTTAAATTTCAAACATTCCTTAGGAGGCATTGCAATGTTGCATTTTGAGAATTCTTGAATAAGACACCGAAATCTAAGAAAGTTGCAGTAATGTTTGTGTTAAAATTTGCAGCCTAGTTTTCCTTGTCCATTCTATTACGACACTCAGATTTATGGCCTTCGTACCTAAAACGCAGTAAAATAGAAGTTATTGGAAGGTAAAGCGCTTGGTGTTCCCTCGTTAACATAGCATCAAGGCAGGTAAATGCAACTGCCTCTTGAGTCAAGTTTTTAACAAATAACCTTTTAATAAACATATTTCACAAATAACTCAAATTTTGATAGTCATCGTGATATGATAAAGGTTTAGAGATCGCCGAGCTGGATGACTAATATGAGATCATATAATGCTTCCTCACTTTCTTTACAAATTTTTAGCAGATCCTATACAGACATTAAAGGATATTATTATGTCTCGGACCGATGAATTTCCCCTATGGATGTTATTGATATTCTGACCATTCTAACAGAGGCTGCGCAACCTGGGAATCGGTAAATGGTAATTTGCATAATTTCAGCTAGTTGTTTTACAAATTTTGCTTTTATTCCTGATAACTATACTGTAAGACATTTTCGGAAAATTTCGGGCTTGTCTAGCTTTCATCTCATTAATTATTTTTACCAAAAATTCATCGACACTGGAAACAAAAGTTATTATGATTTAAGCCCAGATGCAGGAAATGTACAAACATAGATTTATCTCCTAAGAGAAACAGTTAGCAAAATTAACCAGGGGCAATTCATAGTATTTTCAAAGTTTTGGACCAATTGTCTGCCAGATTAGTCCTGTTTTAACAAGATACCTCAAGATCTTGCATTGTTTTCCTCTTAACGCAGCATATGCCTGTGGGGCAGAAGTATAACTGATTTAAGTTAGAGCATTTGAATTCAGAGACAAAATGGTTTGCAACGGTGAGGTTTGTAAGCAACCTTATGTTCTGCCTGTAAAAGTTTGTACATTCTAATGGTGATCATCACAATTAATAAGATAATCTAGAGTGTCTCTTGAAGACCCCACAAAATTATTTAAAACTCTTATGCCTGCTATCTCTACTGCCCTGAGGAGCCAATGTATGATTTTCTTCATTCTTGAGATCACGAGGTATTATAAGGTGTAGTCGCCACAAATAAACGAATCAGATTGCGTTCAATACCAAGTAAGATTTCGGCATACTAATTAATTTGTCATTATCCAGTCGTTGACGATGGTTTTCAATTTCAAAATTTATACACGCGCTTGTTTTGCAGGAGAAGTTCACCATTTAATTTATACGATTTATGAGGAAATGAACAAACATCTCCCAAATCGCACCAATCCTTAGACTTAGCCCTTATTGTTTCCTTGACTGAATAATTTGAAGTACTTCTGGAATAGCTTTGAAAGAGATGTCAACTGGCACGCTCACAAAAGAAGGGTCTAACTGATGATTGTTATTTGATAAAACACCACCGATGGAATTGAGAATCGCCAATAAGTGCATGCGTTTAGTGCTTCAAAACTCGTATGATCAATGACAACGCTAATAAGTAGTGCTATTTTTTCTTCAATGAAATAGACTTCACTAATGATATCTGTCAATTTCCCTTAAATAGCTCCCAGTATCCCCTCATCTATTGACTAGCGTAATTTCAATTTAGTAGCTGCAATTGCGAAGGAACTTCCGTGACAAAGGACACAGCATCGATGGCCAAGAAAACAGTTTTTTTAATCTAGGTTATCATCATCTTTCTCCTCTTCATCAATATTTTAGACCACCCAAAGTGACGCTTCGAGACTCAAAAAGGTTATTTATCGTTAAAAGTGAAATATAAAGGCAGCCAACGAGTAGTAAAGTGCAATTAATAGGCCCCTATGAAGCAGATCATAGTAGTTTGTGAGCCACAACGCGTTGTACTCATAATTTTATATTTTTTTCAAATGCCTAAATCAAACAAGGTGCCCTGCTAAAGGCATGCTTGAAAGGGCACATGCAAATTAGTGCAGTAATTTTTTTAGGTAGGATATACACTACAATAATTAATGCAGCTACGACGGATACAGTGATTTTATGCCAAGAGTTCTGACATTAAAACAGTTTAAAATTCTCACTAAGGAACACTCAAAAGTCTAGCTTTAATTGTACATAAAGTTTGAACACTGTTTCGTGTTTATTATTCCTTTTGTTACGTGCCCGTGAGTGACTGACCAGATTCCAAAGACTGACGAAATAGTACGCCAAAATGAAACCATTAATGACAGCTGTCAAATTGGTGCTTTAATTCAGCTTGCTTGTTTACTAGTTACTCGAGAGAAAAATAGGGTAGCCTCAACCAGTTTTAGGTACAATTGCATCGTGCTAATAGTTGGATAATGCTTCCCTAACAATAATTTTGCTAGTTGCCATGGCAACAAAGGTGTTTAGGAAGTGTTTTGTCAAAACACAAATTGACGTTCTTCTCAAGGCAATCATTTATTTAGAATACGCAACCCCTTACTATATAGCACCCATTTAAATTAAGGCTTGATAGGCTAAAATGTTAGTTAAGAATTGAAAGCTAATTCTGGTAAATTCATTCATAATATGTGATTAAAAGGTGTTTCTGACAATTCCCAAACCTGCAAAAGCTTACAAAATATGTGAAATTGTTTGTAAACATAAAGATGCCTGAATATGCATCAGTCGTTTGGATCTGTGCGCTCTGCTATATGCAATATTATTTTGCATCACTTTTGAGCTCTTCTAAAAGCACATCTGTTTTGTTATTTAAAATTCCAATTTAAAGTTATAAAGGCATTTTGGACACTTTTAAAGGCATTTAAAA